CAATCCAGGCCGCGTAGGGGGCGATGCGGGTGTAGATGGCGGGTTTCTTGTAGTTGCCGCAGACGCGGGATCCGGCCGTGACCACCCCCTCGGCCACCCCGCTGCAGACCAGGGGGCCGCCCGAGTCTCCCTGCGGGGCCAAGGCTCATCAGCACCCCCGAGGGTTTGCTGGCCCGTCCCAGCCCGTCCCCCACCCTGACCCTGGAGCTGCGGGTCCCTGCCTGACCCAAGGCTCTGCGGGGGGACAGAGCTTCAGCCCCCGGGGTGCTGCCAGCCACGGGTGTCACCTGTGGGAGCTGTGGCTTGGGGTCAGTGGTCCCCTTGCTCTGCTGACAGCCCAGATCCCCGGCTCTGCCAGGACATGGGGGGGCTTTCAGCGTGGCCCCCGGTGTCCTGGCAGACCCATCAGTGTGTACCCTTGGGGCGCACTGGGCTGTGCCCATCGCCTCCTCCCTGTCTCCAAGGTCACGAGAGTGGCTTTGCAGCGGCCAGCACAGGGCAAGGAGCCCCCGTCCCACGGGACAGGGAAGGGGGGACAAGAGGGGACTGAGCAGTCCCAGCCTGGCCTCAAGGGTTTCCTCCCGTTGCTGTCAGTTCCCCCACCAGGTCCCAAGGGGCAGAGGGATTTGCAGGAGCGGGGCCGTGCCCGGTGGGTGGGGGGAAGGGGTCCCGGTAGCCCACCTGGAGGAGGAGGAGGTCATCTTTGTTGTTGTGGATGTTGCTGCCTGGGTGGGGGATCTGGGCGCGCACCCGGTACAGCCGCTTGTGGGGCTCCGGCTCCGTGAGCGAGTGGGCGCCCAGGAGGACCTGGAAGACTTTGCCGTCCCTGCAAGCGAAGCAGCGCATGGGGCCCGGGGGCTCTGCCCACCCCGTGGGGCACGCGGAGCTGGGGGTGGCACTGCACCCAGCCACAGAAACAGGGTGCTGTGGGGTGCCAGAGAGCCCCCATGGGGTGCCAGGAGCTCCCGGGGGGTCACCGCAGCTGGGAGTAGAGCCCTGGTGCTG